ATGATGCTGATGATGCTGGCCAGCAAAATCAGTGAACGTTCTACGGCCCTGTTGCTGTGGTCCAGGCGGTGTCTAGAGCTTTAGCTTTACCCGGGCAGGGGCCACCACTGCCGACCCCGCAGGCTCTGGCATGATTGGACCTCGATTTCTCCAGCAAACCCGCAAAGCCACCACAAAATAAGCGTGAACTACCGCAGACCCTGGACCCCAATTTAATCCGCAAGTTCATCAAACTTTCAGCTTCGATAACGGGCGATCGCGAGGCATTCTTTAGAAAGGAGGACAGGAAGTAAGTGGAAGATAGAAGAGACATGAGGGTGGCCGGAAGGAATCGGGAGGACGGGGAGGGGGGGGTGGAGAGGGAGCCGGCAAAAAACATTTTGTGTTAAGGGAAAGGAGTGGAGGGGGGAGGGGGGGGGGGGGGGNNGGTGGGGAGATGTGGGGAGTGCGTGAGGGGAGGTTGGCGGGCAGCGAGGGGGTCGGAGAGGAGGGAGAATGGTTGGCAGCATGAGACCTGGTGGGTGGAAGGAGTGCAAGCCAAGTGTAGTAACAGTTTGATGTGGGGACAAGAGTGTTTGGAGCTTGTCTTCGTAGTGATAGCTTGCTGTTTGACGAGAGGGACGACGGGTTGGCGTCACAGCACACACCCCAGAATCGGCGGATTGGGGCGCTCATAAACGATTGCAGCAGCCTGCTTTTTCTTCCAAGGCATCAAAAAGAGACTGGAAGATGGACCGCTGCGCCGCACCACCTCCGAAATGTCTCAATTGAGTCGATAGACATGCCTGGGCCTATCCAGGAACAGTGGAGATGCTGTGCGTAGTGTTGAGGCTCAGAGTCCGTTAGGTTTTCTGGCCCAGGCATGACTGGATAATGTGCAATCTTTGCAGCGGCTGCAAAAGCTTTGAGCCGCTTGCTGCAAAGTGGTTGCCGGGCTAACAGCCTGCAACTGCTCATTGGTTATGAATTTTCAAGCTTACCAGCATGCGCTGAGCCATGCCGCGCTGGAGTGTCCCAGAGTGAGGATAGTTTGCGCCAGAGTCCTTGGCTGGCAAGGTGACAGAAACATCTTGCTTGCAGCACTCTGAGTCTGTGCTGCTGTTTGATTCCCAACTTTGCATTCAACATGAAAGGATGACACTGACTAGAGTAGAAACCTAATTTGCAGCCAGTTGCAGCAACAGCTGAACCGTCCTCAGGGCTACCGCTATTGTGCCGACGACATTCTCTGCGCGTACTATGCATTGAAGGCCGCGCCAGATGCCAAGAGTTTGCCCGTGCCTTAGACATGTGCTACAGCGACGACAGGCTTCAGGTTGGCAATGATTGCAGAAACTGCGACACCTCTTTGCTCCGGCAAGGTTCAGTAATTCTTGGAGTTACTGGGATTATCTAGCTTTCAAAGCTATCTATCATCTATCACCTGATCCACTGCAAGAATGATACATCTTGCCGCTGGGCAGCTGCAATGTCCCAGTTCGTCTCATATCCCATTGCGGCGAAGGCCCACTGCTGCAGCTTGCCGCTTCTCTGTCAGCGCTGCGCAGAGTTGAGGCTGGATTTGGGCTCTGGCATCGGGACCATAGGCCCCTGACCTGAATCTGAAACTGGTTTGCCGATAAAGCTGGGCTTGTGTTCCAAAGATCCTTAGGGGTCAGAGGACGTGGACTCTTGCAACTTGACATAATGTGGCTAGTAGTTGCTAGCCGCATTTGTTGGCCGTTCGCTGGTGGAGGCTTGGCTTGGCTAGCGCAGCAAAAGCGTGGAACCGCCAAGGTTACCATGTTGGAGGCGAGCGCGGGTTTAGTGGTTTAACGTGAGGCAAGGATCAGCCGTTGCATGCCGGTTCAATGGCAAAAGGCAGCAGTCATAGGGGGTCTGCAATTTGAGCATGATGTCAGATCGGCACAACCCAACACATGAATTTCTGGTAAGAGACAGACCGCTGTTTAAAGGTGCGGTAGCCTTTTGATCCTGTAGTAGGTGATACTGTGTCCAGGTAGAACGACCCAAGTTGGTAAACATGACCTTCGTGCAGGCGCAGGATATCAGTACGGCTCTTTGCCGCAGGACGCTTCGGAGGTGTGAGGCCGATCAATCCGACAAACGTCAGTAGACAAGCTCGTTTGAGAGGTTGTTCTGCGAGCTGGCCCTAAGTTAAGCAGGATTGCGCAGCGCGCTGCAGGTACAAGATGAGGTGGAAATCAGGCCAGCTAGTGTCTTGGCTTCAACTGCCGTACATCTTTGCGACTGCCAGCATGCAAAGGCATTCTGATCTGAGGGATTCGGCAGCTCTGCAGGCAGGGGCGCCAAGACCACGCAGTTCAACAGTCCTATCCGTCTACCCGCATGTTCAGCTCGCCAAGTCATTGGGAAGCTTCGATGTTGTGACTGCCAACCCGCCGCGGGACTCTGAGTAGTATGAGATTCTACCTTAATCATCTCATTCCAACCTCGCACATGGTCCACAAGCTGGGCAGGTTGCATCATGACCCAACGAGCAAGGGTATTGCACCTGCCAAGTTACCTCAGCAGTACCTCCGGGAATCTGCCGAACAACTCGCAGAAGGCCACGGCCCAAGCACTGATTGGGCAGCTCTCGGTGCTTTGCCGCTGTGCGGAGGCCTACTGCCGACATGAGTTGCGCGGAGGTATCCCCGAGCTCCCCGGCCAGACCTACCATTGAGACTGTTCTCAATATCAAGCACGGCAGTTTAAGACATCAAAAGTCATAATGCCTCAGAAAGTGTACCTCAGCAGTCTTGGAGCCATTGTACGGTGCTCAGGTTTTGCCGGGTACCTGGCTCAGCATGCTCAGCCTTCAGTTAGGCTGCCAGTCAGCCTTGGATCTAGCAGCACGGAGGCTGCCAAGCAGGCAATGGCACCGGGATCTGTGTTTTGTATGGCTAGAGCCTAAGACTTCCAAGCTCATTGCCAGCCGTCCCAGTAGCCCAGAGACTCGCGTGCTCAGATACATGCTGCCCCCAGACTGGTGGATGTCATGGATGCAATGGAGAGGTTTGCATCTGAAACTTTGTATGCAACTCGTGAAGGCCAAGACTAAAACGTATTTCAGGTATTGCTTCGTCGTGCGGCAGAGGATCAACGTACTCTTTCGAGGCAACCTGAAAAGCGCCAGAACCTCAGATTTCACGGAAAGGGCAGGAAGGAGTGCAGTTAGACTCACAGTGTGGGGGGGCCAAAGATTTGCCCTTGGCCCATGATGACTTCAGAGGTAGCCGTTGTTTGCTCTTCGGAGCCGGGACCTGGGCAGACAGTTCAGGCCCAAGAGCGTCTTACGTCGCATGCAGAACTGGATGGGCATTTCCAAGAGCCATCTGCCGCAGGTTGTGGACCACCTGAACGTGCAAGAAGAAGATGGAAGCTGGTTGGACACCTTCACTTTATCTTTCCTAAGTCTGTCAGCTGGATGAATCAGGTCGTCTGAGTACATTGACATTTGTCGCGAGATGGGTCTGTGAGTCTTTGGGCACTTTGATTCTGCACAGTCTTAGCGTTTTATACGGCACTTAAACGTGAGCGAAGAAGCAGCTAAGCTGCCTTTTTTGGTCCTCGCCTCGTAGACGAACTGTTGCAGCCTTGGTTGAAAGCCCGAGGATGCTCTCAGCAACATGGAACTTCGCGGCAAAAATACTCCCAGTCCTTTCTGGAGGAGGGACTGTTATTTGCTTCTTCACACGACTCCTTGGAACAGTATTTTGAGTGAATACAGGATATGGGACATGCCAAGACCACTGTGAATTTCGATGTGCTGGCAGGTATATATGCATATTCATATATGTATTCACACGATCTTTCATGCGTGTCTGGATTACTGATTACGTTCTACCGGGATTCCGCGAACAAAATGCTTCAGCAAGATGTCAACCGGACGCCACGTTCATCGCAGAACGATGGACAAAATCTTGGGCTTGCTCCAGTGGCTTTGCAAGCTCTTCCGCTCCTTCAAGCCCTGGCTTCAGCCCATCTACGCAGACGCCAACAGGCCACTGGCCACCAATCACAGTATTGCACCAGGTGACTGGCCGGGATTGGCACTGTTCCTTAGCGACTCTCTCACCTTTGTCGCGACGCCTCCAGGCACATCTATCACCCCAGGGAGCCGCCTGCTGGAGGCTCGTCACATGGCCTTGTCCAGCAAAAAGGATTTAGCCAAAGTGCCCACATATAAGAGGATTTGGATGCGCATCACGGACCCCTCCACCACGCGCCGCAAACTTAGTGTGTCCAGCAGAGAGAGCCTTTCCTTTTGGCTCCAGTGGTGCGACTTGCCGCCACTTTACTTTCCGGGTATCTCACGCCCCCCTAGCGTGTAATACAATCACTAGCAATTGTGGAGCTTCAACTATTCATTACCGCAGTCTGCGTTGTTTGGACTTGTAGGCACTACCAGAAGGCCGTACCTTTGAGTACAAAATCCCGCCCGCCCGCCCCGATGAGGGGAGATGGTGGGCAGGCCGCTGTGACGCGGCTACAGATGTGTGGCGCCCAACGGCGCGGAGTGCAGACAACATTGCTGAACGCAGGAAGTTGTTTGCTGCCAAAAGTCTGAGCTCTTTAGTGTGCGCGTCCACATGCTGCT